GAGCCCAATGAATCCTTGCTGAATTTTCATCCGTCTCAACATTTATTGCCTAGTGCTTATGAAGAAGAACCTTTGCTCAGGTAAGTGCTCAACTAACCTCGGAAAACGGAGATAAGATTATACTTCGATGGAAGTCGTTTTCGAGAATCCCATCCGAGCTATTATTCAAAGAGCTACTCCATTTTAAAATCTCAATTAGGCTTTTCCATTGAGTTAGAACCAGTTACATTCGCTTCAAACAATACGATTTCAAATAGTAATAATTGAGAGCTACATGTATCTTCACCAACCTTAAATTGTGAATATAAATAAATAAATAAATATATTTCTATTTTTTTACATTTATATTTATATTTATATTCCTATGTCTATATCTATTTATATTTATATTATATGAGATGTATTACCCGATTTCGTTTAAGGTGATGAAGGACTTATAGTATAATTTTTTAACAATGAAATGACGTTTCCATTCACTTTTACATAGCCTTGCTTTCCCAAAAATTGTTGTCATCCAGGCACCAGTGGACTGCAGTTTCGACCTCGCCTCGGTCTTTTCAACAAGCCCAGTGGGAGTCGAACCATGACAGTTCAGAATGTGAGCTTGACACGTTAACCACTCAGCCACATTGCTCCGAGTGCCCTTTGTTCACGGGGCAGATAGTAATTTCAAGGAAGACAAGGCCTTTTTTCCATATCACATTCTTTGGTGGGATTGTCGACGATGCAAACGTATTTTTGCTATAACAATCGACTACGTTAATTATTTTTCGTATGTAAGTAGAGTTTTGAGACTACCAGTAAATCAATTATGTGAGATGAGGATGAAACAACATTTGATAAAGCAAAGCTATGCGAAGTTGAATGGAAATGTCAGTTCTACTTATATGATTGTGGGTAAATTCTACTGGCAGTCTTTCATTTCCTTTAACGAATTAGAGTAAATACATCTCATAAAACTGATTTATTGATAGTCTTGAAACTCTGCTTATCTACGAAAAATACTTGTTTTTTGCTGTTTCTCTCGACCATCTTGTTTCATTTCATTTCAAGTGCGTTTTGAGATCATAAGTATGCCTTAACTAAGAGGTGTATTCAACCCAGGTCGAATAAAGTAATGAACCATAGGTCTACTGAATATCTCGAAACCTACTTACAAAGAATGCAAGTAGTGCGGTCAAGTTTAATAGAAAATTACAAGTTTATCTCATGTGTAATCCTACATTTAAATGTTATTTATAAAAGGTCTGGCTTATATTCGTCTATTTGTTATATTTATTATTGTAAACACCTAAATGCCCATCCATAAATAAGTAATAAATTTAAAATGTGCCCACAGTGAATGTATGCCATGTATATACTATTTCTATTTCTATTTCTATTTCTATTTCTATTTCTATTTCTATTTCTATTTCTATTTCTATTTCTAT